TGAATTAGAAAAACAAATTAACATTAGAAAACAAAGGCAAGTTCAGTCTCAAGCACCCCTATCGAAAATTCTATTAGTCTATGTTAATTTGACTGCTAACCAGAAGGCTGGTGGTTCAAACCCACCAGCCACTCCTTGGAAGGAAGGCTGGGCAATCTACTTCCGTAGTGATACTGCCTCAGAAACCCAAGGAAGAGTCGCTATGAGTTGGGCCTGACTCGGCAGCACTTTATCAACAACAACATGTTAATTAGTGAAGTGCTGCTCAGCTATTTTTTTTTTTTTTTCTACTTTAACTCATTTGCCATAAAAAGAAAAGTGATCAGGATAGGAGGTTAAGACGTCAGTAGTATGACTTCTGCCCAGTGAAATCCTGACACAACCACAGGACAGAATCTTTATAAAAGACCGGTGAGAAGTACGTGGGGGAAAAAAAAAAAAAGACTAGAGCCTTTTTAGTAATTAACTATCTAGACTAGTATTCAACCTTGGATGAACATTGGTGTAACTAGGAAGAAAAAAAAAAAACCTCACTGCCATCAAGTTGATTCCGACTCATGGTGACCCCCATTGGGTTTCTGAGGCTGTAAATCTTTGCAGAAGTAGATTGCCTCATCTTCCTTCCATGGAGAAGCTGGTGGGTTTGAACCACCGATCATCTGGTTAGCATCCAAATGCCTTACCCACTATGCCACCAGAGCTCCTGGTATAACTAGAGGAGCTTCCAAAAATTCTGATGCCTGAATCAACTTCAGAGATGGTAACATGATTGATCTTGGGTATAGCCTGAGTACAGGGATTTTTGCTACATGATTTTAGGTGCTAAAACTAAAACTCTCTGTGCTTCATGATTCTCTTCTAGAAAATAAAAGCTTGAACAATTATATTCCCACAATGTTTATCTTTGCAATTACGCAATTGGTGAATTTATTCTTTAAAATTATTTTGAACAAACATATGTATGAACTTTTATACTTTTAATCATACTATTTTTGAAGTAGTTCTTAAGTTTCTGGTTTCTATATCTAGACAATATATTACCATGTCTGGAAGACTTTTCCCCATTTGAGGAAAATCAGTAAGATTAAATCAGTAAGATGTCATCTTAATTTTGCATTTTAATAAAAGTCTCCTTAAATGGGGCTGGAATTGGGAAGTTGACACTCTGGTAATACGATTAAGATTTTGATTTGGTTTAGTCCTGGTTTGTCTACATAATATATTAATAGATCCACATATGCACTGATATTCTTGTACTTTTACTGTAAAAAAACTGTGAGCTTTATTCCTGTAAACTGATGTCACTAACTTAAAAAGTGCCTTTTGTTTTCAGTTCAATTCAGCATCAGAAGGCCCAGTTCTCTAATCATGACAATAACTCATCAATTACCATGCTGATGGAGTGGGAATCACTTTCATACTCTATAGCTGCAAAATGCAGTTGTAAATTCAAAGTTTCTCGAATTACATGTACTTAAAGGAAGCTTTTACTAGATGGAAAATTTCATTTCCTTAATATTGAGAGTTATTTTCAATCTGAGGATTCAAAACAATCCTAAAAGGCACTAACTGAAGGCTCTGATAACAGATTTAAATTCAGAAGCAAAGCCACGAGTATACCACACGGTGGAGTCAGACAACCACAAATCTATGTGACCAGCTTTGACAGAAAATAGGAGCACCTACTGCCTTGGAAACCCAAGGAGGGGTCGCTATGAGTCAGGTTTGACTCGATGGCACATAACAACAACAACAACAACAACTTAGAAGAGTACCAAACAAGGTAACATCATTCATTTTGTCCTGCACTTCAGTGATAAATTCAAACAGACAGTAAATTTCTAAGAAAGGAAAGCAAAGCATACTAACTTTTTATTAGCAATTAACTTTTACCCAAGTTTACCCAAGTGTAAAGAAACACAATTATTATTTTTTATACTAATCCAAAGCATTAAACTTAGTCCTGATTGGAAAAATGTCATTTTCGTATTATTAGGGCGTCTTTTTTTTTTTACACACTGCACTTAAGTTCTCATTTCACAGACAACCTATTTATTATATTTGCTTCTTTCAGAAGAGTTTAAAAATAAGTTTCAAGAAAGGCAATCCTTGAAGCAAATCTGAGTACTTGATAACTCTGTTCCAGAAAACAGTTCACTTGTTTTCATCTTAAAATAAAATTTAGGAGAACAATGTTTCAACAGCTTTTGGGGGTAATGCACTTTCCACCATTATGCATCACCATTGGGGGAATCCAACGTCTTGAAAATGCAGGCACAACCAAAACTTCATGGAAAATGAATTTTAGCTTCTCAGTACTCTAAAATCTGTTCCTTCATTTACAGTTGAAACTTCTCCTTTTACATGGATGCTGCTATTTGTAAGTACTTTTCAATTGCTATAGTTAATTATATTTTATACTAGACTTTTTTTGATAAAGCAAAAAATATATATATTGTATTGAAGTTTAGATAATCTTGCATTCACATGTAAATAAAAGAAAACCCAGGGTCCAACACTGTGACCTTTTTAACTAAACAAGATTGATGTATTTTTGGAAAAGCTCCCATTTGGGAAAACAAACAACAACAACAACAACAAAAAGATAATAGTGTTCGCCTATCTCAAATTCGCCATTCATAGTTTCATTCTATAAGTCTCAAAAAGTACCTCTTTATATATTTTATTTTTTAAAAAATATATCTTATTGTGGTTTAGGTGAAAGTTAATTAGTTGCCCATTCAGTAATGTATGCATATATTGTTCTATGACCTTGACCGCAATCACCCACAATGGGTTAACATTCTCCCCATTTCCATCTTGGGTTCCACATTACATTAGTCCTGTTTTCCTGCCTCTTCTTGACTTCTTAACTTTGCTTTTGGGCAAACACTGTTCTTTTGGTATCTTACAGTAACTTGTTCTGAGGAGCATATTCCCGTTAGGTATTACTTTTCATTTTATAAACGTGAAAGGTGATTTCTGCGAGTGGCTTCAGTTCTACGTTAGAAGGGTATTTAAGCGCCACAGTCTTGGGGGTTCCACAATCTCTATTGACCAGTAAGTCTGACCTTTTTTTTTTTTTTTTTTTTATGAATTTGAATTTTGTTCTACCTTTTTCTTCTACTCTATACAGTATTTCTATGGTGAGCCCAGTGAGAAAAGTTGGAGGTGGTAGCTGGGCACCATCTACTAGTTCTTCTGGTCTCAGGTTAGTGGAGCCTGTGGTTCACGTGGCCTGTTAGTCCTATGGACTAGTTGTTCCTTGACTAACTCTTCCTTATTTCTTCACTCTTCTTTGCTCCAGATGGAAAAAGACTAATAGCTGCATCCTAGATGGCTTGTCACAAGCTTTTAAGATTCCAGTCACTACTCACCAAAGTAGGATGTCCAACATTGTCTTTATGCCAATTGAGCTAGATGTCCCTTGAGACCATAGTTCCTAGCCATCCAACCTGATATTTCAGTCCCGGAAGGTACTTGATTATGGTGCAAAACAGTTTTCATCACTGTGCTCCCTGTGTTCTCTAATCTATATACGTGGCTACATTTTTAGTATGGGAAAATATATATGTAGGAATATCTGCTGCCAACCCTATGTATGCATGTGGACATACTCCCATCTGCTCTCCTAGCCCTGATCAGTTTACATAACTATCGATATATTCATTCATACATTATTGTTTGTTATTACTGTTTTTGCAGGACTGTATATGTAGTAGCAGTTACATTTGTTGACTTTTATTCTTGTGTACTGTTCAGAGTCTTGCTTTGCCTTGGTTATGCTATGCTGACTTCCCTCATAGTGGGTATTTTTTTTTTCCCTTCACCAAAGTTAGTACATGTTTCCATTCTAGTTAGTGGTTTTCCATTCCACCCCATCCCATACATGGTAGCCATCAAAGAATATTTCTTTCTGTGTGTAAACATTTTATTGACTTCTGATAATATATAGTTTAAAGTATAAATTTATAACTTTAATGTTTAGTATTTGCTCAGTTTGACCTTTTCTGGACTTCACTTAGAAAATCAGGTGCTTTCTTTTATTAAGCACTCCTGCAAGGTCATGTCACTCAAAAAAATAAAACATCTCGACTCTGCGTTTAGCTTATACAGTCATGCGGTTTTTCTCAATTCAGTAACAATGTCCCATTTCTATGATACATTTTTCCAAAGCCTACCAATGAAGAAAGGGAAGTTTGGGAAGATGAAATCCTAATGAGAAAATCCTCATCATGGTTTTTCATTGGGACAGAAAGCATCAAAATTGTAGTGGAAATGGGGGATAAATGTACAGTAGACATACTTGAAGAGTTCAACCTTCACTGTGTATACATTGCTTTAAACAAATCTTGTCTGGTTCTTTAGTGTTAATCATCCAGGCTTGTGCTTCGTAAGGTTTTCAGTGGCTGTTATTTCAGAAATAGATCAGCAGACCTTCCTTCCAGGATGCCTTTGGGTGGTTATGAACCTCCAACATTTTGGTTAGCAGCCTAGTTTGGTAACAGCTTACACTACCCAAGGAATCCTAACCATTCCTAAGACTATTAATTTGAGTCACATTGGTAGGCTTCCGTAGTGATACTGCCTCTGAAACCCAAGGAGGGGTCGCTATGAGTCGAATCTGACTTGATGGTGGTGAATTTGGTCTGGTTTTTGGTATAAGAAAACGGTCACTTTAACATTTATTTATGGCTTTCCTGTAGCTGTAACATACTTTGAAAACTCTGATATGCCCCACACCTCAGTATGGTGTTCCTGTCTTTTAAGTGGATTCATTTAAAAGCATTCCATTACATATTCTCAAAAATCAATCCCAGAGTATTAATCTAGAGCTTTTTTTCTCACTTACATCCAAATCATCAAATAAATCAATCAAAACAAGCCTATCTGCACAACTAGACAAATAACTCTTCAGTTAGAAACTCAGCAATATATTGTTCAGGTAAAAAAAAAAAAAAAAAGAAGAAGAACAGAAACATGTTCCCTGTTGTATTTACCTGGGCTTCCTGAGGCATTTGAGCTGCATCCACTTTGTCGGCAATATAAGCTGTCAACTGCTTGTCAATTAATTCCAGGGACTCATGAATTAAGTGTAAGGATTTTTCGACCTCTTGGGCAGACTGGATACTTTGTTCAAGCAACTTTTGTCTCCTCACAGCCTAAAGAAAAGAAGAATCAAGTGTGAATTAATTAAATGTACACCCATGTTAGTTTTCCTGCAATCCTGCTGCAAAATAAATGAAGATTCTACATTCTTCCACAATCACCTTTTTGTAAGATAGATTTCGTAGCTTCTTGCCACTCATTCAGCTCTGCTTATAAAAATAAAAATAATAAAGAAAAGCAAAAAATGAAGTAGCACACCAAACTCCACGATCAGGACTCTCTGTACAACCAAACCACATGAAGGCAAGAGGCTGGGAAAAACATTAGTGAGATCATTACAGGCATTGCAATCTGTCTTTCTCAGGCCAAGTGTTCCTCCTGATCTCATTATATAGTTCAAGAGATTTGGTTTACTTAGAATAGGGTCATCGTCATCACAATCCAATTCAAGTTAGATAATCCACTTCCACCAGTGAGACACATATACAATCGGCTCAGAATCAATTCCTTTTCAAAAAGAGCATTTTAGATAACCATCTGGTTAGGCATGCATTTATTTATATTATTTCAACCAGTTTTGCATGGTCTTTTCCCCCTCAGTTTCTTTCACAATTTGGATTATAAAAATTGTTTGTACAATTGCATTTTGTTACTGCTGAAGTAGAACAAATAATAAGTAATCCTAATATAGCTGCAATTAATCTTGATTGTTATTGTAAGTATGATTAGGATAATTTAACATTTTTCAAGTATAAATAGCATGCTGAACAGATTGCAAAGTCTCTCTCAAGGATCTGTTCACCTTTAAAAGAGTAGTAATAGAAGTAAGGATTGGGACAGGCAACTTCTTCAGAATATTATCCTTTAATATATGACATAGACATAATTATCTTGTACGATAAAACTATCCTTCCGCGGGAATGTGGTTGGAGTTTGAAAAATGGTCATCATTTCTATATTAGAACATAAATGTTGGCTATAAGCTTAGAAGATATGAAGACTTCATTAGTCTTTAATGAAGCCAATCTGGTATGCAGAATTACTGAAGTAAAAATAAATATAAAGACTCTAGACCAAGGGAAAAGGAACTAGAAGGCTTGTGATGAAATATCAGGGGGTTCTCTGCGAGTTTCTACCTGGATTGCAAACGTTGACTTCTTCAGGATTTCATCTTAGGCCTTCCTTTTGTTTCACTGTACCCATATCCTTAGCTTTATTTACACCTAGTTGGCTAATGCCACCAACTCTCCATCTACAGTTGGTTGTTCTCCCTGAATCTCTACACTTACATCTATAGTTCCCTACTGCACATTTTAACTTGGATGTTCCAGAGTCACCAACAGTTAACATAAACTAAATATATAGACCACATGGAACTCTGGTGGTGTAGTGCCTAAAGCATTTGACTGCTAACCAGAAGGCTGGCAGTTCAAATCCACCAGCCACTCCTCGGATGGAAGACAGGGCAATCTACTTC